CACAACGATTGATCACCTGGCTTGCGCTCATGTCTCCTGGTATATAGACACGTTCTCGCTGCCTGCAATATTTACAGCCCGTGAATCGAGCAGCGATGAAGCAGCGGAGTCCTCGTCGAGAAAGCCGGTCACATTCTCCCGCGCTTGGTCAATAATTCACGATCGCCAGTTTCGATCGCCGGCGCACAACGTTATTGACATCCTCATGCGATTGAGCAGCGAAAAATATGTACGGGCAGTTACTAACGACTTTGGCGCGCTCGCAAGAGGACCACCGCAAAAGTCAGCTTGCCAGCATGAGACCGCCGAATTCGCAAGATGGACCATCGCCGTGCCCACGTCTGACGCCACGACGGACATGTTCCACTCACCACACTAACCGACGCGAACCTTTCCCAGCCAGTACACGTCCATTTGCCCTCGGGAGGGTTCCCCACTCAAGTCTTCCCTTACAGCGCCGACAGCTTCAACACAGTTGTCCAGGGCTGTTACGATGTTCGGCTTTCCAACCCCATGGCCAATGCATTCGAGACATGTCCGTCGCCCAGCCCATCCTGTGGTATGTCGAGGTCTGGCGCCTAGTTGGCATTTCTAGCCTGAGGTTGCTCTTGACTCGGATGCTGATGCGGATGCGCCAACTGTAAGTTCCCGGCCCCGGCCCACCACTTCTTTGCGAGATATTGTGTGCGTATCGCATGCCCACTTTCGGCACAACTACTCACATGCATAGCTATTTTTCAGACAACGCGCTGCCGTTGCAAGAATGCTTTCCCCAGGGCCATCCCGATCGTCAGCTGCCCAGCGCATGGTCGCTACGTACACGCCCCGTCCCTCGCACGGTCTGTCCTGTAGGGTCTCGCAAGCCCGCGTTTGGCGCTAGCCATTAGTGTTCCCAAATCGCTCTGTCCGATGGATGCGCTCTTTCCGAGGCGGCACGACCGCATCACGGCATTCAGGACTTGTCTAAACGAGCCATCTCATCATATATACGCCCCTCTCCGCTCGGCCGCTGACGTGGACACGCTCACTGCCGGTTTTCCAGCTGCAGCCAGACCGCTGCTTTGCAAGACGCTCCGTCACCGTCTTGTGGATGTCGCACGCCCGCGTCTGACGCAATCACTGACGCATTTGTGTCACCGTTTGAGATGGAGCAGGTGCTGTGCTCCCCTCATGAGGCCCGCTTGCGATGACGAGGGTACGAGTTTCTCCCTACGTACCGTCGACAGCTTCAGCGTAATTGCCGAGGACGACCGCGAAGCTATGCTGGTCGGCGCACCGTGTTCACACCTTGCTCGTCCTGTACACATCGCACGCCTGCGTCCGATGCAACCATCGACGCTTCCCACACACTCAACCAACCCGAATCCAGCCTTTCAAGACGGTGCACGGTCACTGCCTCAACGCTAAAGACCCACCCCGTCATAGCGCGGCGCACGCATGCGAGTCTCCACCCCGACCATTGACACGAACGCGCTGACCATTGCGCCCTCCCGTGCATATCGCGCCCCCCGAGCTAGCGCAGACGAACACGCTGCCAATTCGCCCGTGCCCATGCACGTCTTTTCCTGGACAGCGCTCTGCAGCCGGCATGACGTCCATTGAGGACCCGCCCACACGCAGCATGCCACTCTTCACCCGGCCACCAAACGCCCACGTCTCGCAAGACCAAAGCAAGTACCCGACAGCAAACCTCCGAACCGGACCTTGGACACAGCGACACCCGTCGCTCCTCCAGTAAGTCCCGTCCACACGACTTTCCGCATAGCCCGTCCCTGACGCTATCCATGGCGCAGATGTGCTACCTCGGGATATCCTGGTACGCTGCGCGTGCCGACCGTCTGCCCCATCTGACTCGACTGACGCGCACCAGGACGACTCGCACCTCGCACACGCGAACAACAAGCCCCGCGCCGACTCGCACCTCGCACACGCGAACAACAAGCCCCGCGCCGACTCGCACCTCGCACACGCGAACAACAAGCCCACGCCGACCCGGACCCGCGGACGCTGCGGCATCCGCCGCTCCTTCGTAAGTCCCCATCCGCACATCTCTCCGTCGCCCATCGCTCACGCGCCTTCCCGCACAGAACGCGTTCATCGCCTCGCAAGCAGGTAAGCACGCACCCGTTGGACTCGCTCTGCCTCCTCGCCTCACGTCGCGGTCGCGGCCAGGCTGCCCGGGCTGATCAAGACCGCAGGGATGGGTTTGAAGGGGGTTTTGGGTAGATGGACGGATGTCATAGCGTAGGGAAGAGGATATTGGATTGAGCATTACATACGTAGAAGGCACTGCGAGGACGACCGTGAGTGGTGCGACGCTGCCGCTGCGCAGCTGGTGAGGTCCCGAGCGCGCCCGAGGTTGCTGAGGTGGCGCGCGACCGAAATGAGTGCGTACACGATAAGTGAGGAGGTTTGGCCTTGAATAGGGCAGCGTGGAACGCCCAAGGCAGTGTGAGCGCTCGCCAGCACTGGCGGACGCGATGACCGGCGAATAAGAGGAAGGCGCAGTGGGAGACGCGTCCTCCCAGCGCGCACCACTGCACGTCGCTCGGCCGCGTGTCGCAGGCGTTCGACTGGCCCGCGATGCGGCATGTGGGCGCGCGAGGGGCTCGTCGCAGCGACGACGCGCGTGTCCAGCGGGGCCCTGCAATCTCGCCTGTCTCGGATTGCGCTCGCGTCCTCACGTCGGCACTATGCTCAAAGGCCGTTTGGAGAATGAAGAAATATATTGAATTGAATGTGAGTAGTACAGAGGAATTATGAGAGTGGGACCAAAAGATGCGAGATACCGTACCTCAGAGCCACACGTGCTGTCCAGCGCGGACTCGTCCAACGGTGCCTCGACACCCGTAGCGATGAAGGTCCGCCGCCACATGTTATGCACCGGCGAGACGATGCGCTTCTGCGATGCAACGCTCGATGATGATCGTCGTACCACGTCTGCACCGTGTTCGTTTTCAGCTCGTTGCTGACCAGCGCGCCGCACGTTAACAAGTCAGCGGAAAGTTGAGCGGCGAAAGGGATGAAGTGGAAATGAGCAAGTGTGCGCCCACGCGGTACGGGCGTGGGAGGGCGCGCGGACGAACGTACGTGGAGGGCGAGGACGGCGGGCAGGAATGCGGTTGGTGGGTGAGGATTATATCCATGTACACAGTCCACAGAAGTATGGCACTATGAAACATGACAAAGCCGATCACTCACCGGTTTCATGCTCGCCACGATGGAGTTGATCGAGTTGGGCCCATCGCGCTGCAGAATGGTCGCCGTCAGCATGGGTGTGCATGCGATGAAGTGGGTGATTGACAGCATCCACC